TGAAGGACTGGTTGTTTGGTTATAAGTAGTAGGCACCCTCATCGGAATAGCTCAGGTGCGCCAAGAGAGTCCACATTCTCCCACCGTTTGTTGGTATCCACCTAAGAAAAGAATGCATGTACTACTCCTAAACCCCTAAGAGGCACCGGAAGGGCCCATTAAACGACACTGCTTCCACACACGATGCCTACACCAGGAGCAGTGCTCTCGTATTGAATATTACCCAGTTCTGTGAGTCAATAGGATTGCCAGAGGAGTCATCCCTGCATAGTTGGAATTCGAGATCAGCACTAGGAGTGGGCGCCAGACAATAGCTATTCCATGTAAGACGGTGACCTTCCAGCTCGAAGTGTTGATTATCATTCCCAGCCATACACCAATAGCTCACTGGACGAGCACCTTCCCGCCTAGGACTAGCTGCATCCAAACATCTATTATCTGCTAGGGTTTTCAACATCCTCCCTTTATCTTGCCAATAGAACCTCTGTGAGTTATCATCGGTATTACAAGCAGATTCAAGTCGGAAGACCCCATTACGATGTGCAAGGCAGCCTCGAGGGTTTTGGAGCATGAAACTTTCATAGGCCATGGCATTAGCAGATACCAATGGATCACGGAATTTAGACATCCACCAATCAAGATCATAAGGACACTTTCTATTAACTTGTGCAATATCATCAGCCAACCATTCATTGAATGGTGCTGAGGGCTGCCTTGACTGCGATGCTGTTACTATATACCCCGGAGCTATTGTCACCTCCGATAACCGAGAGACAATTATCTGCAGCAGAGCAGGAGATCGCGTTGAGTATCCAAGTAACAAGAGTAAGGCACATGGTCATAGCGAGTGGCTATACCAGAATGCCGTATCACCTGCCCTCCACACAGCCATGTTCTCATACTCAGACTTAGAGTTAGATGCTCACGCAAGAGCTTCTGATTCGTATCCACTTCGTTTAGCCAAAACTTGGTAGTAGCAAAGACGGCTAATTGAGGCATTACTGGACTCTGAGAACGATGATGATACTCGTCGGGTAGTACAAATACAGGGCCTCACCTCCTCCATCTTGTCTATGT